GTGTGACCGGTTGCAGGTTCTGCATTTTTCTGGGCTGTAACATCTGGATTTATTGCTGTGACGTAGGCAGTTCTGGCACAGCTGGTTTTCTCTAACTATTTTGTTTCGGTCTGACACCGATTTCTTCTTAAACTCTGGGCAAAACACAATTGCGTGATGGTTGTGGCATACCGCACATTTGAATCTTCCTTCGCCTCTCAGTGAGTCTCTAGGGACGTCATGCTGTTTTCTTACGCCACTTATAGATTCCAGAGATTGAAATGGTTTTCTGAGGAACTCGAACACTTCTTGTCTGGATGGAATTTTTTGTGGATCTTGTAATTGCTGCTCGTGTAGTTTATTGGTTTCTGGGTCCCACTTTTTCGTTATGAGTCTCCCTATAAATGGATCCCATGATGTGTCAATGCGTAGATTTTTGATTGTTTCCAGACATTCAATTGACACGTCATGGAGCTCTTTTATTTTTTCTGCGGACTCATGCGTGACTGATGGTGGTTCCATGATTTTATCTAGGAGTTTGTAGACGACCAATCGTGTATTTTGGTAGCGTTGTTTTAGTAGGTCCAGTGCTGTTCCATAGTTATCTCCGGTAATCATTAATTGCTTGATTATGTTTTGCGGATCTCCTTGCAGCTGGGATTTCAGGAATTGCAGCTTCTCGGAATTGCTGAGTGACGAATTTTGATCTATCAATCTCATAAATAGATCAAAAAAGGTGGGCCAATCTTCGTATTTTCCTGAGAAAGTTGGGAGTTTCATAGTTGGAAGGCTGGAGTTGGGAGAGCTTGTTCCTTGTTTTATTCTTTCCTGAACTTTCTCTTGTAGCAAGTGTATTTTTTGTGTTAGGGCGCTATGATCCGCCATGTAACTTTCTTCCAGTTTGGAGGCGTTCGCCATAATTTCATTATGCTGTTTCTTTATCATAATCCATTGATCTAGCAGCTCTTCTAATAATATTGCGTATCTTGAGACTGATTTAGTTTCTTTCAATTCCTCTTCGATTGATTTTGCGGCGTATAATATTTCTTGGATCATTATCTCTTTTTTGTTCATACGCCCGATTTGTTCGTTTTCGCCTTCAGCTTTTGCTTTTTCGTCCGCTTTTTGGCAGTTCTTCAAATAGGCTTTGACTTCGTTGTAGATGCTGCTAATTTGTTCACTATATGTTTGTTGATGTATGTGTGCTGGTGTATGCCCAATGCTACCATTTCTTCGTGGTTTTTTTTTACGTTTTCCCATGGTTGGTCTAATGCGGCTTTTCGTGTTTTTACATATTCACCAGTTTTTCTCGTTACCGGATCTTTTTTGCTATTGATTAAGATCCGGTTGATTTCGTTCCCTAGTTCTTCTTGTTGTTTGGCTAGCTCGTTTGTTTCATCCATTGTTTTTGCTTCTATGGCTCAATGGCGTCTAGTTTATGCGGCTTCTTACGGCACTGCTGTGTTAACAAGGTTTTTTTTTTGCTTTTTCTTCTCTGGCCGGCGTGTGTGGTTCGACTAGAGTGGCTTTTTCTTCTCTGCTTGGTGTGTAAGACTCAAGTAGAGTGATGGTTTTCTTCCTTCTGGCTTGTGGCTCAGTGGAGTATTTTTCTTCTTCTCTGCTCGGCGTGTGTGGCTCAAGTAGAGTGGCTTTCTTCTTCTGCTAGATTTTTGCTCGAAGGACCATGAAATGGTCAGGGAATTCCTGAGCCTTTATATTCCCTACTACTCTATAGCAGTCTCACTATAGATTACAGGCAAGGTGACTTGGCCGTAGTAGGCTCAAAGGACCATGAAAAGGCCAGGGAAATTCCTGAGCCTTTATATTCCCTACTACTCTATAGCAGTCTCACTATAGATTACAGGCAAGGTGACTTGGCCGTAGTAGGTTTTTGTGAGTAAAAACAACGGTAATATTTGACTACTATTTGAATACTGATTTTATTAGGAAAAATATCACAATTTATATTAATCTAAGTCAAAATAATTTTAATAATAATTTGTCATAATTTTAAGTCTCTAACCATGTTACGACATGAACCTATTATGTTCCGGAATAGTGAAAGGTCGACACTTTTGGTGACCTGACACGCTTGACCGTGAATATTTTATTATATTATTTCTATTGAACAATTGTTTTTAAATAAGGAAATTCCAGGCAGTTAATTAATCTTTTTTTTTTCTTATGTCTTGAATTGGATACAGACACCTTGATGCAGACTAAATAAATAAATCATGGAAACACCTCGATCCAAATAGACTTCAAGAAGCCACAGATTTCATCTTGAAAGAAGCAGACGTATTCGTGATGGATAATCAAACCGGACGGACCAGTTTAATTCCACACAAAATTGATAATTAGACAACCACCTCGAAGTATGCCATTAGCTAAACAACAGGAAGAGGAAAACCAAATTGATAAAATGATTCAAGAGGGAATTATTAAAAAGTCGAATAGTCCCCAGTAGTATGGGTTACAAAGAAAGATGGAAGTCTTAGATTTTTTATGGACTACCGCAAGCTTAATGACATCACCAAGAAGGACAGCTTCCCTTTTCCGAGAACAGACGATACATTAACAACTCTATCGGGCTTCAAATGGTTTTCCACCTTGGATCTTAAGAGTGGATACTGGCAAGTGGCAATACGCAAAGATGACAAAGAGAAAACTGCATTCAGTACCGGAAGTGGGTTATACCAATTCAACGTAATGCCTTTAGGATTATGTAACGCTCCCGCTACTTTTGAGCGACTGATGCATCTAGTTTTGCGAGGCCTTACATGGAGAACTTGCCTGGTATATTTAGATGATGTCATGATCATGGGAAATTCATTCCAAGATCATTTTAATAACCTGAAAGAAGTTTTTGACCGCTTCCGGAATGCCATCTTAAAACTCAATCCAAATAAGTGTTTTCTATTCCAAAAGGAAGCAGAATTCTTAGCTAACGTGGTATCTGAAGATGGCATACAAGTTATGGAAGGAAAAATAGATGCTGTCGTGATTGGCCAAAACCACGCGACAAACAAGAACTAAGGAGTTTTCAAGGATTATGTTCTTATTATCAAAGATTTGTGGAAGGATTCGCCAATATAGCTGCTTCGCTTTTGCAGAAGCAACACGAACCAAGAATGCGATTCCACATTAAGAAAATTAAAAGGAGCATTATGTACTAGCCCGGTGTTTTCCCGATCAAAAGGGCATGTTGTTTTTGGACACAGATGCAAGCAACACCAGTATTGGAGCGGTACTTTCACAAATTCAAAATTCACAAGAGCATGCCGTAGAGTACTACAGCAGTACCAAAACCAGAACGAAATTATTGTGTCACCAGAAGAGAGTTGCTTGCCATAGTAAAAACAGTCGACCATTTCCATAAATATCTCTAAGGACGTAAGTTTCTGATTCGAACGGATCAGGTAGCTCTAAAATGGCTTTTAGAAATGAGAACCCCCGAAGGACAGCTTGCTTGATGGATTGAGAAATTGCAGCAATACGATTTCCAAATTAAACATCGACCTGGAAACCTGCATAAAAATGCAGACGCTCTGTCTTGATGGCCATGTGAAGAATATTGCAAGCATTGTCAAAGAATCGATATGCATGAGAAAACACTGGTCCAGCTGTGAAAAGAACGGGTCTTATCGTTGATGATAAATGGACTACCAAACAAATGGAAGGAGATCAAGAGGCAGACCAGGACATTGGGCAAATTCTTCATCTTAAAGAAAATGATGAATGTAGGCCAGAATGGAGGGAAGTGTCTAACAAGAGTTTGATTTACAAAGCATTGTGGGATCGTAAAAAATGGTTTACTAAGAAGAGTTTGGGAAAGTGCCGATGGAAAAACTACGAAGAGCCAAATAGTTATTCCAAAAGATCGAGTAGAAGATGTATCAAAAGAAATATATGACGGAACTTCAGAGGCACATTTTGGAGTTAAAAATAAGACTTTGGACAAAATTCGAGAACGTTTTTACCTACTATCATGAAGACGTTGAAAACTGGTTCCAAAAATGCGACATCTGTGCTACCAGTAAATGTCCTAAACTAAGGTCTCTGTTTGATGGGCCCCTATCAAACAGTATAACGTCGGTCTCCCATTTGAAAGAACAGCGATAGATGTAGCCGGACCATTCCCTGAGTCAGAGCGTGGTAACAAATATATATTGGTTATCATGAATTACTTTAGTAAATGGCCAGAAGTTTTCGCTATTCCCAATCAAGAAGCAATTACTATTGCTCAGGTGCTAGTGGACGAAGTTTTCAGTCATCATCGTGTGCCACTAGTGTGACAGCACATCCGCCAGGTTGTCGAGAATCCAACCTAAAATCTAGAAAATACTGATTAATTCAGGAAGATAGGCTATCGCGTTTATTCTGGATTGTACAAGAATGGATTACGGATATATAAAGGCCGGTATAAGTTAGTAGTTTTCAAGTTTAAGATTGACTGTGATACGATTTAGATAGTGAATTTTGTAAGAGTTTTAAAGAGGTAAGTTATTTGAGTTAATTAGTGAGGTAATTAGTGTCAGAGTGTGTAGTAACGTGGAAAAAATTAATGTTGTGTTAATTGGACTTTGATTTTGAAATAAACGAACCCAAGATTTCTGTCACACACCCCAGAGCCGTGATAATATTAATTTCATTCATCCAGAAAGGGAAGTTGGGCAAAACAAGACATCTGGCAAAGCGCATACCCACCTCACTTGTATGGAGTAAATAAAAACGAAGAGTCAAAATCATATAATATGCAATGGTAAAATGGCTATAAATATATACATAATTGATAATCGATGCTACCTAGTGAATAAGAACGGTAATGCAGGAACAAAGAAGATGAAGGCTTAATTAGAGTCATATAGTCTCGCCTTTTTTTTATTTTTGTAGGCCCATTAAAACGGTACATGGTTTATCAGTAGTTTCAATCTTCTAACTTCTTGTTAAGAGTAGAGTATATTTTTACGTATAACTTTTCTATGATGAGTGATATTCAACATTCTCTCCTATGTTTTTAGGTTGACCTTCAACGAACCATCTTTGATATGTCAAGGAGGCTATGGTATGGGCATTATGGCTCCAGGTTTATTATTGAACGGAGATGGAATCTACCAATGTGGCTACGTTCTCTTAAAAGCCCATGCCAGAGCTTACAGAGTATACGACGAAGAATTTAGAGCACAATATAATGGTAAAGAAGATACAACTTAGAAAATTATTACCTTTGGTGAATTGTTTTATTATTCATTATTAGGTCAAGTCGGTTTGGTAGTCAATTTTCAATGGGCAGAGCCTGCGAGTAATAGCACTCTAGATCTAGAAGCTCAAGAGAGATATACAGAATTTGAAGTAAGAATTACTGGGTGCAAATTGTAAAAAGCTAAAATTTAAACAGAAAATATTTAAACTTGAAATATAAGTGATTTTTTAAGTAAGTGTAACACCTCAATTTTCACTTATTTAGCTTGGTTTCTGGGTAAATCCAATTTATCTTGGAAACTGGCCCCAGGTAATGATAGACAGAATTTCCAATAGAAGCAAACTTGAAGGTTTATCCAGATCACGTTTGCCATCATTCACTCAGGAAGAAATCGAATATATTAATGGAACACATGATTTCTTCGCTATCAACACGTAAGTTTTGATTAAATTAATTTTATATGATTTTGAAAATCACATATGTCATAGTTATGGCGTATATCAGGTAAAGTATGCTCCTGAACCTGCCATTAGCTACCCTTCCTACACTTTCGACTTAGGAGTAGATATAGTCAATGATACAACTTACTACAATCCTAAGGGAGTGAGGGACATGGTTAACTACATAAGTCAAAAGTGAGTGTTGAAAAAAGTAAAAAACGTGTCTTTTCAAATCGATATGTTTTTAGATACCAGCCCAATGGTATCATAATAACCGAAAATGGAAAACCGAGTGAAGACACTCTAGAAGATATGGATAGAATTAACTTGATAAGAGTGAGTTTTGATTGTTGCAAGAATCACTAATAAATGAAGTAGGTAGACGAGACTTTTCTATGTAAATTAATTTTGTCGTTCTAGGACTATTTGGGTAACCTAATAGATGCTCTGGTAGAAGATAAAGTCAACGTTTTTGGTTATTCCATTTGGTCTTTAATGGACAATTTTGAATGGGGATCATATAAGTAAGTTTATTTTATGCACACAATATTTGACAAGAGAGATATGCAAGGAATTATTTATGTTGTAGAAGTAAATTCGGTATTATCCGAGTCGACTTTGATAGTCCGAACAGAACTAGGACCTGGAAGGAATCAGCCAAGTGGTACCAAAACGTTATTGCTACGAGAATTTTAGATGATGCCTGATTTTGTAAAATAATTTTTTAGTAAAGTGAATAGTAAATTTATTTATTTTTTTTGCTTCCGCAATTTAAAGATTTGTTGAAGAGCATCACAAATCTTTAAGGAACACTTTTCATTTCTTTGTAAAATAAAAAGTTTTCTGCAACTTTCTTCATGGTGAGCTTTTTTTCTTTTTCTTCCTCTCAAGTTGTGTAATCCTGCGATAAGTTTCATTTGTGTCTTCGGGATGTCGTAAGTAGGAATCTTGTACAAGTCTGGTGCGAGCAAGGACCCTTGTAGAACGCCGGTATCCAGTTTTCTAGTTCTTGATCGATGTTTCTAAATCATCAATGCGAAAGTTCTTCCTTCCTAACCAATTTATAAATTATTGACAAATAGTCAATCAGCTTATGAATTAGTCAAGCAAGACTTAGTTGAAGGCTAGCTTGTTCAACATCTAGCATGACGGCTCCAGTTGTCTTCTTCTGATTGAATCCATCGGTAACCTGTTCGACTATTCTGACCGCATGAAGCTTAGTCAAACATTTAGCTATCAATCCATATTGTTTCTGAGGAATACCAATTCTCGGTCTCCAATTTCATGTACGGTCCTGGAATTGAGGCCCCGTTGATACCTTGCCCAAAAGCGGCATGAGGCTGATAATGAAACATTAGTAAATTTTGTAGGAACTTTCTGACCTGTTCTACTTTGGTTCTCATAATAACTTCCGGATGCTTCAAGCAGTGCGGCAAGTAACCTAATTTCAAGATTGAGTTGGTAATGATTGTGAGAGCCTTGGCATCTGTTTGATCATTTTATCTAACATCTGAGGCAGGGACTTACGCGACACTATGTTCTGAGGAATGGTGAAGAAGTATCTGATAAGTGGTTCGGTGTCCTGATTAGGAACAGGAACCCTTCTTGCTATTCGGTCAACTCCAATTTTGTAATTGAAGTTTTCGTCTAAATACTCGTTGACCTGGTTGTGATTGGACGAATTTTTGCCTCTTCATCATTTTTTGTATTTTTATGTCATACCAATAGATTGTTGTGTTTTTATACCTTAGATACCATCTACATAATTCATTACTTTATGCCCGTGCGGGCATAAAGTACACATTATGGCCCGCGCGGGCATAAAGACGCAAAAAACAGTTTTCAATTAACTTATTCTTTATTAACAAAATATAAATTTACGCTTATAAACATATTATTTTTGTCAAAAAATAATGATGTTTGCACACTGATGACAATTTGCGAAGTGACACTTTTTTCCCAAGTATTTATTATTCACAACCAACTGGTATGACATAAAAGTTTGTATGCACCACGGGTACTAATATGCCCTCAGGGCATAATCATCTACTTAGTACCCTTGATACATAAATAACTATTATGCCATACCTACAGTTATAACGTACTTTTTTGAGAAATTACGTATATACTTGCGAACGGCTCTATGACTTAACTTGGAAGTTCACTAATATGGGTGTTATAAACAAAATCTATACAATTAGAGGGCTTAGGTGAGTACAATAAGGTTTCTGGTTTTCTTTATTTATTATGAAGGACAATTCAATAACTATTGTGTGGAATAGATAATGGGGCCCTCCGTGGTCGGGTCAAACTCCGTGGTATTCAGAACTAGCCAGAACATGTGAACTATAAGATGGAACTCCAAGTTCTAGTCAACAACACAGCTGAGAGTAGTATGGAGAGACAAGGAATAATACATAATAAATTAGCATGTACCTACTTCTAGTTGAAATAAGCAAACATACAAACAGATTGTAAATCTGAGTCAAACCCTTATTCCAACAATTGAGGTAACAAATCTTGAGTGTAGGTAACCGTTTACTTGTTTCAAAACACCCTATGAGTCTGTATTGGAGCAAAACAAAGTAGCATTAACTGGCAAAATTTGACAATGCTACATCGTTGCTTCCCTGCAATGGTGACCTCAATGTCTTCTCGCCTCTGAGCTGCTTCTGCAATTTCCATGCAGAGTGATCATTTACGTTCATTTCTAATTCCATCTGGCTATCCAATCTTCGAGTTCTCTATTCTCTGTAAATTTTTCTGTTTTCAGGGACCATAGTTCCCATTGTCCTGGAAATTTTGTCGTTTGGTCGTCTCCTTGATGGCCTGAAGACAAAGAATTCTTGGTACGCTTCCAAGATACTAGCCTATAATGTCTCGAACTCTATTCTCGTCTTTAAGTCTACTTCTAAACTTGCACCATCTAGTCAGTGACCTTGGGGTCATCTTCAATTATTTCTATTCGAAAATCTTCTGCGACATTTCAAAAAACTGCTACCCATCTCCGTTCTCATTCCTGATATTATACTTTCAAGCTGGAGATTTGCTGTTCGGTGGTGGGAATAATGGTTCCTTGCAAGTGAATTCTGGATGTCTTCTACCAAAAGAACATCTTTGAGAGGTCAGTGAGTCAAAGGTATTTTCATCCTCATCTGTATTCTACTAATAGCTCTTAGACCTCAGGTTTCCAAGCTCATAGTTTAGTCCCTTGGCAAATGCCAAGGGACTAAACCATGAGATAATCTTTAGTGGATAGTCCACGTCGATGTATTCTCTACCGCCAGCTGCTGTTCAAAACGGAGGATCCACCTTCTTGACTACTCTTCCTCATCCAACGGTCTGATAAGGTGTTCTTAGTTTTCCTCAACACTCTGTCGTGATCGATATTCATCCTCTTCTCTCTAAGTTTTCGGGTGACTGTGCTTTATTCCGTGCCTTCAATGCTTAGGTACAACTTAAACCAAAACACCAGTTTTGGCAGATTCAGAGTTCTGTTTTGAGAAGGGCAGACTGGTTTGCTTCAACGACTCCTCATCGACCTCATTGTTGGAACTGGTAACATACCTTAGGTGACACCAGTTTTTATGTTTGTCAAAAGAGTGTCATTTTTTGCAAGTTTTAAATAAGCTAAATATAAAATAATAGTATATTTCATTACCAGTCCAGAAAAAAGGATTTTTCCGTGCGCGCGTGACAAATTCTCGTGTGAGGTGCAGCCGAGCACGGAAAGTCATGCAAGAACGGAAAAATCCATTTCTGAACGTGTAATGAACGATATTTTTTATTATACTTATCTGAAAACGATAAAAACAGAAAATTCCCATTTTTAAAATGGCATGAATTTTACAGAAAATAAAATGTCAAAAATAGTTACAGTCGTGAGCATTGAAAGTGGGACACCCGACTCACAGGTCTTGTAATTTTTCGCTATTTTGGGTAAATAAGTCTTTTCTCTACAATGGATTTTTTGTCAAATATGACAATCCCTGTCATTGCCGTAAATAAAGCTGGTCAGTTCATTTTACAATAGGAAAAATCGGATGTCCCACTTTCAATGCTCACGACCGTACATAGGTAAAGGAATAAATGATGGTTGTCGCAGAAACTTAAATCGTTTTTTATTTTTCGGGGTGCATTTATAATAATATATCTTTGTTCAACTTCGAATGAATGACAAGGATGCAATATTGACTGACGTCTAATCTGTTTAGCGCACGGAAACAGAGATCGGGAAAAAATTTCCGTGCGCTGTTCTGGAAATGCCACCTTTACTTTAATGTAAAGACAGGTGAAAAAGAGGTGTTTTCAGGTAAGTATAATAGAATAGCTATTTATACAATAAGTTACGAAATGAGCGTCTTTTAGGCACGCGACGTGAAAATTGTCCAACGAGGCAAAGCCGAGTTGGACAACACGTCGAGTGACTAAAAGACATCGTTTCGTAACGTATTGTATACAAGATTTTTTCTACTGGCATTTTATAATAAAAAAACACAATTTTATTTCATGTGAATAAGTCGATTACACCCAAAATCTTTGTTACCTGCTTTTACTTGACACCTGACACTTTTCATGCGATTTTCTTTTCAAAATTCGACATCAATAATTAATCCTAGAAAGTAGGTAATAACACAAAGTTCTGTTTTGAGTAACCCAAACGTTCAATTCAGTAATTCCATTTTCAATATTCATAATAAATACAAAACAAAATTCAAATATGTGTTTAGTGTGTTTTTTATTTCTGAATAATGAATGACACTTTTAGGCACTAGTGCTTAAAAATTACTTTTACGCACTCATAAGTCACTTTTACGCATTCAAAAGTCACTTTTACGCACTGAGTGCCTAAAAGTAACTTTCACGCACTCAGTGCCTAAAAGAATGTCGTTTCAAAACTGAAATGACAATCGAAAAGTTGCTATTATGAAACGTCAGTAGAAAAAGTCTTTTATTATTACTAAAAGGACACAACATGGCGCAGACGAGGTAGTTAGTTATTGTTGAGAAAAATGGAAGGGTCTGGTAACTTATAGGTCCCAATAGAGACGTAAATTTTTTTTGTTTTTTGAGAAAGATTCCTTCAAATTCACACATGTAAGCTATAAATAAGTGCGGAAAATTCACATTTTCCATCGGAAAATTATATTCAAAATTGACTTTTTGGCCCACCTTTCGAAAATAAATTACGAAAATTCCCCACTATCAGTCGCTATCAGCGCGCTTTGTTGTCAACCAGTACACTCATAACCAGTATTAAATGAACTGTAACGAAACTAACCAGAAATATTCAAACTAACCCGTCCACGTAATGCGTCCTAGTCCTTGTATGTTAATATTAAATTTAAAAACACGAGCGCGCGAAGCGCGCTCTGTTATCAACCAGTACTTATAATCAGTAATAAACGAACCGTAACGAAAATAACCAAAAATATGCAAACTAACCCACACTAACCTGTTCACGTAATGCGTACCTACTAGTCCTTATATCTTATTATTGAATTCCTAATTGTAAGTACACCAGTACACTTTATAACCAGTATTAAACGGTCTGTAGCGAAACTAATCAAAAATATGCAAACTAACCCAAACTAACCCGTCCACGTAATGCGTACTAGTCCTTATATTATATTGTCAACTACTTGAGTAAATACCACTCTGTACATCAACTTTACTAAAGTGTGTCGACGAGTCAGCATTTATTTGCTATAAATACAGCGCCGAAATCCATTAACGGCAGACTAAGGCTAGTGCGAACTACCTCTAATGGGAAAAGCCCTTCTAGCTAAGTCTCCTCCCAGTGCAAACTACCTTTAATGGGAAACGCCCCTCTGGGAGTATTGAACGCAGCAGACTAGGTCCAG